GTAACATTTCCGTCACACGCTTGAGGAATTCAGCCAATCACAATGCACTGGATAGCTGGCCAATCAGAGCACACCTCGCTTTTCAGACCGAAGAAAATAAAAAATAAAAATCGACACATTTAAGAAAGGCAGGGCATAGAGGAGAAACAATAATGTACAGTATGTGGAAAATAATGTGTTTTTTTAACCTTAAACCGCATAAACACATTTCATTACACCAAATACACAAAATAATGTTCTTTGTAGCAGAATCATATGGCCTCTTTAAAGCAGAAATGTGTTTCTTTTAAACAGCCCCTTAATTCACCAAATGATCAATGGTTGGAGAAGAGCCAAATCTAGATGAGTTGTGTTGCCAAACATATTTTGCGTTTTTTTTTTAAGTGTTGGTTCAGGTGTCTAGATGGCAGTGCGGTGATGCTGAATGCCAAATCCAAGAGGTCCGCTGCTTTTTTGGATGTCCGTTGCCTGTTTTGCATAATTCCTTTAGTGAACTTGGTGCTAATACAAAACAGCCGCAGACGTGTGCAAACAAACAATGTTATCGGCGGGTGAAATGTATTGTTAGTAAAATCTCCCTAGGGTTTTCCCTCTGCTGTAATAATAAGGACAGCTGCCTTTTTTGGACTGTGAGAGACAAATCTCCTTTTTCTGTTCATCCCAATGGCTAGCAATGACTAGTTAATCTCTCTCTTGCTCTTGCTGTAAACACGTAGGAAGGAACTGGAAGGATTTTTAGGAAGTGCCATTTAAAGACTTCCTTTTTTCCCTTCCTCCTGTGAAGACACAGAAATGAAAGGTGCAGCACGCTGATAGACAATATTTCAAATGTGTTTTTTATTACGTCTGAGTAAACAGCTTAAGGGAGGATAAAGAGAACAGAATATGAGAGAGTGAAACTCCGCAGCTCCAGGGTGCCGCAATCAACTGCTTTTCCACAAGCTGGAAATGAAAGATTACTCATGAAGTACAGAATATCTGACGTTACATGATTGTCATGAGGGAATAGGGAGGCTTCTAATCCCAGGATGTGAGAGAAGAGTCTGCAGTTTTCCTGTCTTCTCACAGCAGCTGTGTGTTCATTCATCAGACTGCACTAATGTGAGATACAGACCGTATTTAATTTGACGCTAGTAAAAACGAGGCTGTCAGGGAAAGAAACACAGTCTGTTTGAAGCGTCCTTCCAAACAATTTAAGATGTGCAAAAAAAAAATCCTCCAGAAGACATTTTTAAAACTTTGCCACAGTCTAGCTACATTGAAATAATATTTACAATAATATTACAAAAAATAGTTAAATGATAAATAAATCATTAAATGAATAACAAATAATGAATTATTGTATTAAAAAAATTTATTACATGATAATAAATGAAAAAAAAACATTTATTCCTGAGTTGTCTAGCCAAAATGTTACAAAATAACATGATATTTAAAAAGAAAAAAAATTCACAACTGAATTGTTTAAGTGGACAAAGTTAATTAAATTTAATACACATGAGTTGTGAAAATTAAGTGTGATCTTGCCTCCACCGACCCACATGACGTTACATGGACAAATCGTTTCATTTACAGTATTTTTACTGTTTCTCCAGCTGTTCATGCTTGCTGTCTAAGGGGAAGTGCCTGACACGTGGCTTGTGTTGCAACTAGGCCTGTCACGATAACAACTTTTTGTTGTGCGATATATTGCGCCAGAAATAATTCCGATAAGCGATATTATTGTCATTTTAAAGACCATTTTATGCCACTGAATATATAATCATAATGCAACAGCATAATAATGCAAGAAGGCCTACACATTTCCAAATGACAACGAACTTTACATTTTTAAGAATATTTAGATCATGGAAATTAAGTATCAAAATATTAGATACCTGAATAAATAGTAAATAAACATTTTCTAACTAAAAGTGCAAAGTAAGTAGAAAAAAAGAAAAATGCACAAAGAACTTGTATGGAGATTTTTCATCTACAGATTTTCCCCTGACCTTCTTATCTCTGTAAATTAAGGGTGCACACTATTGCTGAAAAACACAATCACTACTTAGCAGTCAGATGTCCGTATGCACAAAGGCACAGATCCCTAAACAAGGCCATATCTGCAGATTAAACTTTTTTTGTAGAAGCATTTTTTAAAATTTGAACTAGCACCTCATGACTACACCACGTTATGTAGGAGAAGCTGCAAAAGACAAAGGCACAAGTGGAATGTACAAAACATGGTGACATTATTTTTTAAGTAAATATAATGGGAAATATATTGCGTCACCAAAAATTGAGGTCATGTACATATATTGCGCGATAAGTCGATATATTGATTATTGTCTGCAGATTAAACTTTTTTTTGTAGAAGCATTTTTTTTTATTTGAACTAGCACCTCATGACTACACCACGTTATGTACGAGAAGCTGCAAAAGACACAGGCGCAAGTGGAATGTACAAAACATGGTGACATAAATTTTTAAGTAAATATAATGGGCGATATATTGCATCACCAAAAATGATTGCAGTCATGTACATATATTGCACTTTAAGTGGATATATTGATTATTGCGACAGGCCTAGTTGCAACTTGGAATATAAAGGTCATATTTTCAGTAGACAAAATCCTCAAACTCTAATCCTAAAATTGAGGAAAAACTGAATCAGATGTGGGTCAGAGTTGGAAAATCATGGCAGACGAGGTAGCGAATGGACACTTAAACAGCAAAAAAAAACATGTGCTCACACAAACACATCCACACAGACAGACAGACATATGACTCTCTCAATAACAGAAAGACTGTTATGTTTTGGGTATCATGGGATTTCACATCCAATTTGTTTTTGTGGAAGATAAACTGATGCTGTATGCACATTCATTGATACTGAAACAATAACATGTTGTTAGTAGATGGAGGGATCAGGGTTAATCTGTTCAGTCTGAGCAGACAGATGTTCACATGGATGTGTGTCATGGATATAGCTGATGGCTACAGCTGTTTTCTATTTTAATATAATATAAAAATGTAATTTGTCTTCAGTGTCACATGATCTTTCTAATATGCTGATTCAGTGCTCAAGAAATTATCGATGTTGAAAACAGCTTTAGTTTTTTGTGGAAACGTGATAATGTTTTTTTTTTCTTTAATAGAAAGTTCAAAATAACAGCATAAATTTGAAAAATAAATGTTTTGTAACAATATAGATGCTTTTTTTGTCTCACTTTTGATCAATTTAGTGCATTGTTGCTAAATAAATGTATTTATTTCTTTCAAAAATAAATAAATAATAGTGCTGTTAAACGATTAATCACGATTAATCGCATCCAAAATAAAAGTTTGCTTTTACGTAATATATGTATCTACTGTGTATATTTATTATGTATATATAAATGCACACACATGCGTGTATATATTTAAGAAAAATTTCATATTTATATATAAAATATTTCTATTTAAATATAATATAAATTGGATATAAATATAAAAATATATATATACATGTTTGTGTGTGCATTTATGTATACATAATATACACCGTACAATCACGTATATTATGTAAACACAAACTTTTAGTTAATTGAGATTAATCGTTTGACAGCACTAATAAATAAATCTTATTGACCCCACATTTTTAATGGTGGTGTATAGAGAAATGTGTTGCCACTTTTCAAATGTTTGTTGTATTTTGTTTTACCCTTGTCCTGGACCCAGGCTTTCAATATGAAACTGTATCATACAATTTTAGAATTATGACATTTATAAAACTGGAGGGCGTTTTTGTGATAAATTATGACACATGATCAAGCATATGTGTAAATATCCATAGAATAATTTAACTGTGCATCATTTCTAATGTGTTTTGTAATTGTGCAAATTTTGCTAAATATTTTTGTAAAATTGCAAGAAGTTGTGGATATATTTCATTGTATTTAGTGCTCCTTTAAAAATGTAGTCGACCCTTGTCATGCATAAAAACCTTTATGCAAGTTTCCCTTTGCCTACATAGACATACATGGGATTGTACAGATAGACCTACAGCTGTATTCAAAGATTACCGTTCTTTCTGTCTCTCTCTTATAGTCTGAGAGGCCTCTGTCTCTTCACTTGAATGCCTCTCATGATGGCTAAGCGGGAAAGCGGCAGCACCAGCCCGGTGGTGCGTCAAATAGACAAGCAGTTCTTGGTGTGCAGCATCTGTCTGGAGCACTACCACAATCCCAAAGTCCTGCCCTGCCTGCACACCTTCTGCGAGAGGTAAACTGACATATCTAAATAGAAAGTGCCTCGTGTATGAATGAACAAATGATTACAATCACGCAATCATAGCCTGAATGCTGCTTTCACAATATGCTAAAGACTGTCTGTGTTCATTGGTGTGGAAGAAATCTGCTAAATGCTGCCGCTTCGGGGGTGTGCCTGTAAAATCACAGCAATCTGGTTGACTTGAAGATGATCTCGTGTGGGGAATAACTAACTAAAACACTAAAAAACACTCAATTAACCACATTTTTAGTAGCATGATAGTAGCTCGACCTTTTTCAGTAGCAAAATGCTTTTTCTGGCAAATAGCAGTGCACATCATCTTCTTCTTATTTTTTTGTAATTATAGTATTATGTATTATAGCAGAGCAAACTAAGGTGATAATCCAACATGCTTGTCTGTCCACCTGCTCTGATATTAAACATTTGGGAATTTCATTTTAGTGAACCAGTTCAGTCCCCATCCAAATTCCATTTCCATTTCTTTTTATATAGCAATATAGAAAATAATATGTATTATAATTCTACAAAATAATATCATAATTATTAAATTAAATTATATTGCATTTTAAATTAAAATGAATGTCTTTTTCTGAATTGTACACTTGTTAATACTGCCACAGCCTATCCACATTGAATTAATATTCAGAATAAATATAAATATATATATATATA